GCCTCTGATGCATATGTGCCTCTGGCTGCCTCATGTCTGCAAACAGGAAAGGCTTGAACGGCTGGCCTCATCCCTCTGCTGACTCTCCATTGTGTGGGGCCACTTTGGCAGGGCACGCTTTGTCCTCTGCTTTTTGGGATCTGCCTCTACACCCTGCAGGCTCAACTAAGTATCACAGGCAGCTTGATTTGGGGCAAAACAGAGGTGCCACATTCACTTGAATAGATTAATATTCATTAATGCAAAGCTCATGGCTTCGGTATACTCATAAAGAATGCCAGCAAAACATTTTCTTTAATTTTAGTTTTTTTTCCTTCACTTAAAGATTTTTACAATGAAATTGGTAAAATGTTAAAAATCTTATGTTTGTGTGTTTTGAATGACTGTGTTTTAACATGGTTTTGTTATGAGTTGTATCGCCCCTTTGTCTGCCATTATAAGGAGTGTGTGTGTGTGTGTGTGTGTGAGACCGTCTACCCTATTCCCCTGGTGCAAGGTAGCAGTTTGGCTGGTTAATGTGCACAAGCCTAATTCCCTGAGGGTGACTGATTGCAGGCTCTATTTCTCTTTCCTCTCTCCCTGATTAACGGGTGCAGTGACAAACAGCCCAGCTGGGCAAAGGGAGGCAGCTCTGGGAGGGGAGGTGGGGTGACACAGAAGAAAAAATAGGCAGAGGTGGTGGCGCTGCCTATCATACTGCTAGCTCTGCCTTCCTTTCTTAACCAGTGTCGTTCTGTTGTGAGTAATAGCCTGATGTGTGTCTGCCCAGTATAGAGCTCGATTTAGCCACGAGGCATTTCTTTATGCCCTACTTTAATCTTTTTCCCATTGTACAGAAGCACTATGTATCTGTGTCATGTGCCTTTCATTTGTATATTGTTTTGCTTTAATTACAGTAATAATTTTTCAAAAGCATGTTAAGATATAAAGGCTATGACAGGTTCTAAATATTTCATACACAAATGTTTGTCTTTGTTTTGTATTTGTGGATTAGACCTTGGGGGGATTTTCTTTCATAGAAACTCTTTTATGTGACCTTTTTGTGCCACATCTGTCTGCCAGGCTGTGTTTTTATTTATTTATTTTTAAGTAGCTTTGGGGCTTAAATCTTATGTCTGAAGGTTTGGAAAATAGGCTTTTTTAGGGGGAAAAAATCAGGTTGAAGGCTCCTGCATGGCATTTTTTCCAAGTTGAATTTTTATGGGTTAATTTCTTTATCTGATTTTGTTTCTGTCTGGACTGGGGGAGGTGGCTGCACATCACTCAGGCTGGCATAATTGTTGGTGTTGGACCAATCTATTTTGTGTGCCGAGTGCTTATATGGTTGCATGCTGTGTGGGTGGATTTGTAAGTGTCACTTTCAAAAGCATCATGTGTATACTGTATGTAGAAGGGTTGTTGGGGGTGGTGTGCTGTAATAGGTCAGGTCAGCTTGTATGTGCAGTTTTTATGTCACCCAGTGTTGTGCGTATGTGTGTGTGGGAGGATGAGTACAGTAGGCTGTATCATAGTAGGTCAGGGGATTGTTAGTCTGATCCATTGAGGAGCGATTAGTCCAGACACTGAGCCAAGCCTCTTCATACTCACAACAAGGGGAGGATTGGCGCTTTGTTATCGCTGCCAGACTCTTGTGACCTCACTGGTCCTGCCCCTCTCCAGCTCCTGCCAATCCCCCAAACAGATTGCCTTGGACTATATTACTGCCAGGCCTGTCCTGGATAGTCTGTCTTCTGTGTGACTCCTGCTTCCATGCTGTGGCATTTTTATAATTTGGGCTATGTAGAAATCTTAAATGTAGCTACTTATCAGTAACGCTAGAGTGATACCATACCAGTCACATAGTGTAGTAGTGTCCTTGTTTTTCTATTATTATTATTATTATTACTTATTATTATTATTATTAGTTATTATTATTATTATTAGTCCTATAATATGCCAGAGTAAAGAAGAAAGCATGAATTGAAAAGGAGGAGAGCAGTGTTTGGATGTTTTTGAAACCACTGTGTCATAGTACAAATATTTTAACATCTCTCCAATCTTCAACTGAAGACTCAGTGATATACCTGACTACTTATGCATACAGTGAGTTGTAGAGAAAAGGCAAGTCACTCCTAGGGCGCCAGATAGGTGACAAGTCAAGGAGCAGTTCCAAGGCGTTGTATTTCCTGCTTCTCTAATCCATGCATTTAGTTTCTATTCCCATCCACTTTCTTAATCAACCACTAATAGGATTTTCCAAGCATTTGTTTTTGTTTTGTTTTGTTTTTCTATTTATATTTTACAAAATCAAATTTATGTTAAAGTACGCAGCTGCTGCACAACAGAAATGGCTGTGCATGACTTGAAAATTATCTAAAAACGAAGATAAAAATCATAATTAGCAATATCCCAGTACTGACAACGGTGCACCAGAAAGTGCAACACCAGCATCTATTCTCTTCTTTTCTGTCTTAACCTATACTAAAAACTGGTAAATGTACAATTTGCTCAGGAAAAATATATTTGTAAAGAAAATACAAAACTGACTGAAGCCTTATACTTTTGCTCTGTCACACAGTAGGTTGCTACGGTGTAGCCACAGATATTTACGGAGTGAACACTCTTTAAAATTTTAAGATACAAAGGTTCAGTTCTGATTCCTTTTAGAGTTCATGCTAGGCTTTTAAAATGTGCACTTTTTCCCTTTATTATACTTTGCTCTGGGATGTTATAGCCTGCCTGTTGTGTGTTTTCTAGAATCAGTGATGGAAGGAACATGTATAGATGCAATCTGGCCCTGTATTTCTTGTGTACACTCAGATTGGGCCCATCTGGTAGCTGTCTGTTATTGATTTCCAGTGTGATTTAGAGGATACATCAACTTGGCAAAGCATGACAAGTCCAAGAATAGTTCTCCCAGATATATTAACAGCAGCTTTACATTTAACCAGATAAATCTATTCCATTGGCTGCTATCAGGTTTTTTAAGTCATATCTGGGTGACTCAGAAATTGAATTTGCATACTAATTGTGTGTAATGTGGTCTAATAATGACCAAACTAAAACATAAATCTGATGGACAGTATTTATGTCCATATTTGGAAAGGGCAGTTTGCATCCTTTAATGAATAAATTAAACCTTGAACAAAAGGACAGGGCTCAGCAGTTCTCAGTCATGCTTAGCCTTTAATTACTTACTTTTAACAGCACTATTATTTTTGTAAAAATCTGTCATTTCTTCCCATCACTGCTCCTCATCTAATGGCTCTGATTAGGTTAGCCACAGCTGGTAGACACAACTAAAGCTAAACTCACAGGTATTAACAAGCTGACTACTCAACCTTGTCTATTAATCTGTTCAATGCTCTTAAGCAAATGGCTTCAGTTAGCTAATGGATCTCTATTGCAGGGGGCTTAATCTTAATGTAGGTCCCCCATTGTGTGTATTTGTGCATAACACTAAAGACAAGCTGCGTATGGTTAGTGCTGTATATACAGTTAAGCCTTTACATATAGAATTTTTACCATGTCAAATGGTTAAGGTGTGAGTCACCATGCCTGTACAGCAGTTCTTGTGCTGTAGTTGTGCAGAATAATTGTCTCACACTCAGGATTCAATTGAATAGAAAAGACAAGATGCTTCTGCTTCTCGATCAAACTCTGAGAGCTAGCCAGCTGGAGAAAGAGGGTGGGATTGACCTCATTCTGTTTGAAGTATTGATTGTTGCCGTATTAGGAAGCCTTGTTTTTTTTATAACTAGATGCTGAATTCGTACAAACAGCAGGATGGGAAGATATTGCGTTCTTAGCAGTGATTCAAGGACCGAGGTGACTAATTTATTCTGAGGAGGTTTTAGACCACTTGGCGAGCTGTGGCGATGTAGAGCAATGTTTTGATGAGGCCCCTTACTGTTTGTGTGATATAATCTGCCAGCACTTGCACAGGAATGCATGAATGACACACATCTCATAATTATGTTGTGAAATGTTAACAAAATGTCTTTCAGTTCCAAGACTCCACACCTGTTAACGGACTGACTTTCTTTTAACAGGTGCCATTTAACTAACCTTTCTTATTTATCTACAATAATGGGTAAATAAATATATAGACAGAACTTTATTAATTCCTTGAGTCAGTTCCTCTGGGAAATTCAGTAAATATATAATAATTGAACTGTTATCATATTGACATAAGGAAAGATTTTTTAGTTCAGTGCAGTTTCTTTACAAAAGATGCAATAATGGCATAAAAAGACTACAAAAGCAGGGGAGTAGATTTCTGGTATAAACCCTTTTCCATTAAAGTATCTTGTAAAAACAATCAATTTTAGTTTTGCTGCAACGATACAATACGTATTGACATTTTAGCAGATAAGCAGTTTTTTATTTACCTTTATTTAATTTTAGAAGTGAAGCCATGCGATGAGAGAGTGCTTTTTTATGTGCAGCTTTTATGTCATTACAACCCTGGTTTAATGCAGTATGACACTGTGTAAGTGTATTTATACTGCCATATGTGTTCGTCTTTTTTGGTTGCTAGGTTATAGTTATATACTCGTGTTTTGCTCAAGCAAAAGTTGAAACCTAAGTAGGTTGACAATGCTGTGCCGTTATGACTCAGCATACAATGACATTACTGGAGTTACAGGAGCTCTCATTTTTAATCGACTAGCATAATGACTTCATGACAGTTGCTAAACTTATCTCAAAGTCTGTTACACACTGGCAGTTGCACCGTCCAAGCTTGCATTTGCATATGACTTACATTTGAGCATATAAAACTAGAGTGCAGCTGGCAGGCTTTGTGTGCTCAGTGTGTGGTTGACGTGCATAGTCTTTTCTTTTTTCTTTTTTGTTTTATATGGAAAATAGAAGTGGACCATTTGTTTCTGAAGTTTAATTTTCAAACTTTGTCTTTCAAATATTTCAAGGGTTAGTGTTGTGAAGCTTCTTGTGTTATGCAATGACCTCTCCCTGCTGTCCATGCACTGACTGTCTGTGTTTCTGTGTCCGAACTGTAGGTTGAATGCGTTTTTCGCCAGCCTGGACAACATGAGCACAATCTCACCAACAGACTTCGACAGCTTGGAGATCCAGCAGCAGTACAATGACATCAACAATCGCTGGGACCTGGCAGCAGAGACTGACTGGGACAATGAGAACAGTTCGGCACGTCTCTTTGAACGGTCTCGTATTAAGGCCCTCGCAGGTATGCTACACATCAGTGTACGTTCTTCCAGTGTTGCTTGTCAACGTGCACCCATGTACGTGCATTTCTTTCTGTTTAAAACATTTTGTCACAATTGAAAACAAGAGTGTCACATGTCTGTTTAGAGGCCGGATACTGTAACACTAAAGGCTAAATTGTAAGTACAATTTATTAAGTATACCAGTGCATGCCAGGTATCCAGGGATAAAAATTGCCCAGGAGAGACTTGAATTAAATTCTACTAATTTTGAAGGCTTGAGTAGCTAAGGTTGTTGTTGAATGGATTGTTTTAAAATTGCACTGATGGATCCATTAAAGTGTGCTGAGCTTTACAGTATGATGTAAATTGTGTGACGATTAAAAAAGTACAAAGAAATGACATAAAAAAGTAAACAAAAGATACAACTCAATAATGACGTTTGGTCTCAAATACCGAAATGCTACCATATGACAAGTCTTTATTTAAAGATGGTGACATTCCATACATACATTACATACATGATTGGGAAAATTTTTTATTAGCTTTTAGAAAATCTTTCGAATTTTACCAAGACTTTTATAGATCAAGTGTCTGCACACATGCTGATGCTCTTGTATTCCAAGATTTGGTTAGCAGGCAGTTTAAATCTATCCATAATAGGTCTGCAAACAGACCTATTATGGGATATTTCTGCGCTTCCTTTTTGCCCTCACAATGTTCTGACATGACAGAGTTTTTTATCCTACCAGTTTCTTTGGTGAAGTAGTCGGGAGAGGAAAGAAGGTTCATTGAGGAAAATAAGACATTTACTCCGAGGAGTATTATGGCTAAAAGCAATGCCAAATGTAACTTGTAAAACAATTGGTGAGAAGGTGAGAATAGAAAACCTGTGACAGTGAAGTCTTGAGCTTTTTAAGTTGAGTTTAAGAAAACTATTTTATTCCCAATATGTTATGAGAAAGATCGTTTTGCACTTACCCCAATGTTGTAACTGTTTTGTAAAGCATGCGTTTTAATATCCAACAAGAGTTTTAGCAATATTCACTTGAGATCAGTCCTGATACTAACACTGCAGAAATCTCTGTAGACTGGGGAACAGGTTTCATTATTTTTTGTCCCCAAAGGCTCAGTTCTGTCTTTATAGGGCAAGACAGAAATACTTCCAAAAGGAGGACAAAACGAGGAAGCTGTATAGTCTGTTGAGCAAAGAGAAATGTGGCTAGGTTGATCTGTTTCTGTGCAGGTTCTTTTCACACCAGTGCTTCTGCATCTAAACTCATGTTATGTCTGATTAGTGATCTTACTAAAATGAATTAAGATGCTATCCTTTTTAAGAGTGCAATAATAATAATAATTTTGATGACAGTTTTATTCAGTAGCTTACTCCAAAGCCTCAAAGCTGTGCAAACACAGGCCAGTCTGCCATTGTTGGAAGCGTCAAATAAGGTGACACATTATTGGCTGTTTTATCAGATCTGCTGGAGGTGTGTTTGTGTGTGTTTATTTAACTGGCCTGGCCTGGCTTCACCTCTATTAAAACCTCTATTGTTAAAAACAAGATGCAGTGTCATAATGAACCCAGCAGAGGGGAGCAACAGGCAGTCGCCAACACACATATATACATGCACAAACACGCACACGCACACATCGAAACCACACGCTATAATGATCTTGAGCACTATTGTAGTCGATGTGTTTCTCAGATATACACCTCATTTTACTGGGGAGGAGTGCACCACAGTTCATTTCCTTTAGGAGCTGCCGTTATATAGAAATTGCACTTTATAAACAGTCATGTCCTGTCAGGTAACTTTTTATTATATAGCAGTATGCTGTAATACTGTTTGCACTTGTGATCAAACAAGAACTTGTGTGTGTATGTGTGCGCTTCTATGTGAATGTCTTTAAATACTGTCTAAGTTTTACAAGTGTGGACTTGATGTGCACATTCTTTGACATGCTCTAGCAGCTATTCCCCCCAGGCTTAGCTTGGGCCCACCGTTTATGACTTCTCCCCAAATGTCAAGACTTTGTGCAGTCTCTAAGGTGCTTTTTCTTTTCACGTCTTCCTCTCAATTTCTGTCAAACGTTTTGTGCCTGTCTCTATGTAACATGATTAGCAGTGCGTACCTCTTACAGTGGAGAGCTTCTCTTGTTTTAAGATCATTTTCGTTTACAGATAACCACTTATCGACTGTACTGTACCGTGTGGGCAGCAAGGCAAGCTGTGCAAATTTGCATTTTTTGAAACCAACGGCTTGCTTCAAACGCAAACAGTTAGGCGTGTTCACTTGAGAGCACGTCCACAGCTACAACACATGGCCTTTGAAAATTATTTGAGTGATTTCTCAATATCTGTGTGCTTTGTGTTCAGTTTTGTAATAGATCTGCATAATTATCATAGACACAACAAACCTGAACTGTATTTAAAGTAGGCCTTTTAATAGGATATTTTTAATAATCAACTGAAACATAAAACAGACACGTGTGTTTGTATTTGGCTTGTGTAAATTTCGCCACATTTATGGACTCATATGAGTAGTTCACCCTACTCTCTTTAGGGGAATTCCCCTTCAGATCAAAGTTTAGAGTACACTTCATTCTTCCGTCCTCCCATGGGTGCTCAGCTGGGGTTGTGCTGTGAGACAGATAAAATATACATGTTTAGCAAGAGATGTCTACTCTTTCCCCTTTTTTAGTGCTTACTCCCCCAGCAGCTTCTGGTTTTTCTGTCTTATCAGGCTAATTAACCACACAAGCTCATTATTCATTGTCACTGCCTGTAGTTTGTTGAGTGTGGAATTTCTCCCAGATGTCATTTAGACAGTTTTCATGTTTCACAAAAGTAACTCTAATCTTGTTTCTTAATTTGTTCATTCGTGGGTTGCATAGCGAGGTAATGCTCACATTTATCTGGTTTTTATTTTTGATGTGATTGCGATGTTTAAAATATGTCCAATGGGATTTTAAGTGGGATAGCTTTGGTGCACTATTTTTCTCACTACATTTGATTGTAGCATAGTCGCTGTTCCTCAAGAGGAAGTGTGTCCTCTTTGGATCTCATTAGTCCAGTCCCCCCTCCATAAACACCCAGTTACAGAAAGCCTGGGGCATTTGGTCCTCTAATGAGAACAATCCAGATGCTGCCAGCTCATCAGGACAAACACAGACCAGACCACGATGATCCCCCCTGACCAGACTAAAAGAGCCTGAAAGAATATGACCTTTGTCCTCACTGTGTTTATAGTTTTGTGTTATTTTTGAGCTGGCGTTTATTAAATATACATTACATTTTAAAGGTGAAATTTCCATTCAATGTTATTTACTGTTAAGAATTTATATTTATAATCTCCTGTTAATGTATACTCCTTGTTAACTGTGACCTTACTCTGTATTACACAGATTAAACTCTTTAATGGAAATAATGGAAAGTATGTATTCAGCAACTATACAATGGTGAGAATCAGTTCTTGCCTGCTTGAAAACGCCTAAATTGATTATAATGAAATTAATTTAATGATTTTCTTGAAGAGCTGCCAGGAATCATTTTAGTACTTGGTTCCAAACTAGTAAGAAGTCAGATCTGCTTAAACCATTTAGTTTTTAAGAGTTAACAACTCACTTCCACCCCCTCTGCCTCATGAAGTAAGTAAAGCAAGTTGACAGATTTTGAATCTTGTTATGGCAGGAAACACTTGCTGCCTTTCTGAGACTTTCTCAGCAGCTTCCTTCCTGTCTTAACGCCCTTCTCATAACGCAGCCCCCACATACAGTAAAGGAAAGATTAAACGTTGTCTTACAAAATAACATACGATCATGTAAAATGATGAGGACTTTTGTGACGCACCTTTCAGGCAAGCCACACCCCGGTGCTCTCTGGAATTAAGGTGGAGTTAGATAATCCACCTAGGGCTACACTGAGCAGAGGACTTTAATGGTTTAGTCCGCCTTCACACCTCCTCCCTCGCTTCCACCATGTTCTATCTATGTGCTCCTCCTTCAAACACACCTTATGCAAATGGCACAATTTTTAGAGAGCCCAGCAGGCTTTGTTTACACAGCTATCCGACTATGGCCGGTTAGCTTGCCTGCAGCTCCTGTGTTCTGCTCCAGCAAATGCACAGAGGTTGAAGGGAAGGAATACCCAGGTTTTTTTTGTTCTCTCACTAGAACCACAAGGGAGTGTAACTTTGCTCAGAGGCCAGAGGGGTGGTGAAATGAATGAAACAAGAGAACTTTTTGCTCCTCAGTTTTGGTTAAATGATTCTTTGAAAAAATCCCCCACCGTTGCACTCACTCTGCGTGTCATTGGACAAGGTGGACCTTACGGTGGATGAAGAGAAGAAAAGGCGGCAACATTTCTCAGCTTGTGTTGTGGGAATAAAAGAGGAGGATATACCAAGGCTTTTGTGGTACACTAAAAGTATCTTTTGGATAACCTTTTAAAGGATTTGATCTTGGTTTGTTTTTCTTTTAAAAGTCGCAAAGTTTGCTTCTGTTGTGCTATGTGGGAGAATACCCATTCATTCTGTGCCTGAGAGGAATATTTTACAAAGACGGCTTGAGGACGAAAAAAAAACATGGAGTGGGACCACAGGGAAAGAGATTCCTGCTTGTCCCCAGCAGCTTTTGTTAATCAGGTGCAATACTCTAACATCCTCGAAGGAAGATTTAAACAGTTGCAAGGTAAGAGTTAGATCTCATTGAAAGGGAAGATCCTTTTTAATTACCACACGTTTCTATGATGTTGTTATTTTTTTAATTTTTAAACATTTTTTTTAACTGAGCTGATACCTTGATAACTTGATAACCTTGATAACTCTGCCGTATAACTCTGTGCTGCTTATGAAAACCGTTTTTAATGTTACTAATGTTGATAAAGCAGTTGTAGAGCCAGCAGCGAACACGTATTCTGTTGTTTGTTGAAACAGGAAATATTGAGTAGAAATCTACTACTTGGCATGCAGTAGTTGTGGGTGCAGGTGCTTCGAGTTGTAACTAAGGCCGCAAAAGACTTTAT